AACACCCTGCCGACCCTGCCAATGAATTGCAGGCGGTCTGCATTCAGGACGAGAATATTTCTTGATGAAAAAAGGCAGGAAGGATTCGGTCTTGGCAACTGAAGGTGCTGTTCTAGCAAGCTGAGCAGGCCAACAATGTGGTGCAGGCATCTACCAGCACTATCATGCTCACTGCACATTCTCCACTTGATGCTCTACGCCACCTACACGCCCATGCACACTTCCTGCCAGCTCCCCACACCTGCAATCCCTCCGCAGGCTTTTTCACTCAGATGCGATGAACGGGCTGCCAGGTGCCCGGATCCTAGGTCCTTTGCCTTTACGGGCAAATAGTGAGCATGAGTGCATCTTGCGTCCCGGCCAACGACTCCTGAACATCTGCTAATAAATTCATAAAGTTGAGCAGCACACTTCCTCTGACATCATCCAGCAGCATGGGGAGAAGTTGCGCAGGGACCTTGAGCATTCTTTTCCATGAGGCGTTTTGCAACTGATTTTTGGTGGATCATACGGAGGTAGTCCAGGACGAAACGTGGGTAAGTCGAAGTAGAGCATCTTTCCTCATTAACTTGAGTTGCGGACCTTATGCCACAAGGTGTTCAGAGAGCGAAAGGAACAGAGAACTTGTGACTGCCGCTTCGTGTTGTTGGCTCATGTTGGTTTCAAGGGACCGAATTCTGCTGGAAGTTTTCACTTAGCCTAGTTTTCTCTTGGCTTGACGTCTACTGGACTTCTCGCCCGCCGGGGGTGAGGGTTCGCCAATAATCGCTTCCTCAAAATAGCTAATGATGCTTGATGGATTCTCAAGGTTGCGTTCATTTGATTATGCGCTTGGTGTGCTTGGGGTTTGTTTGGACTGCTGCAGTCCGGATACTTTTGGGCACTTGTGCTCAGGGTACTCGTACGCACGCTCTCGCCGGGGTCCTGATGCTTGTACACGTTCTCAGCCTTGTCGACATTTCACAGGAAATCAAGCATGATCCAGCATGGTTGCATCGTTGCATGTCACAAAAGTGCTCGCAGCACGATGCCGCGCAGATTTTGCAGCTTGGATCATTCGCCGTCCAGAACTTGTGGCAAGGATGAATTATTTGGCCTGTCTGGCCCTTGGGAGGCCTGCCTCGTGCATCCGTACTGACCTGGAAAATCGTTCTCTTGCCCCAGAGCCATTTACATTTACCATCATGTTATTCTGGCTTCTAATCTTTCGAGTTGAGGGGGGTTTGTGTTGATCCTTGCCACTATCATGGCTGTTTGATCCTCCATGAAGTCCACGTTGTTTCCCTTGGGCCCAGCCATTGTTTCGGGTCCACGCTCCACGCCGGCATAATCCTGCTGCCTGCATCATCCAGGAGCTGGCACTCAAAAGCGGTCCCACTTTCGCTTGCCGTGCAGCGCGCTCAATTGGGAAAGGCAAGTGGTTGCGTCGATGCCACGTCCCAAACCATTCCTGCACCAGGCTGACAGGCCTGTCAGCCAACCCTCCCTTAGTGTCCACAGAGCTCAGCTTTCCCTTGTGATGTGGACTCTCTGAGCTGATAATCTGCCCCGTTCGCTTTGAGGGGTTCGTACTTGCAATTACTGTCAGGTCGGTGGACAAGCAGGCAGAAACGCCGTCTGGAAATATAAAACTGTTGCTTGATTGGTGCGGTGTGGTGCCGTATCACATTCTGAGAGGGCGCTCTCGACCGTCTTTGGTCGCGGACAAAAAACAACAAAACTGGTCTCTAGCTTTCCGCGGAACTGCATGCTATCGGCATGCACAATCACTGGCTTCGATCCACCGCTGCAATGAGCGCAAAGCTACAATTACAAACACAGGATCATAGCTCTTCATCCCACCGGCTTTCAAGGAGCCGAATTTTGTGAAAAATGGTACACAGTTCTGACACAAATTGCTCAGCTCCCTTGGCCTGAGAGGCCGAGCGCCTTCGGCCTCTGGGCCATAAGAACGTTGCCTCTGCTATTGGATACCACAAAACCATGGCCCTGGTTCACACCTATGAATTAGCTCCCCTGATCAAATCATTGAATCATGATCTCCCTCCTTCAATTTGATCGTATCTCTTCCTGCAACTTGCGGGCAGGGCTGCAACTGCGGACTCTATCCACAGACAGCTGGCGTGAGCGACTGGTCTGATCCATCATGGCAACTTCAGCTTGCAGCAAGGGGAACTGATCCTTCCCTGCATCTGTGTTCATTGGAACATGTTGGAATCAGCTCGAGAGAATTACGGGCACTCCAGGCCTGCTTCACGCAACATGACTGCAGCACTGCTGGATTCTCTTTGTAGATACCCTCTGTCATCACGGGCCTTCTGCACGAGCTGCTCGTGGCGCTGATGCGCTGCTGCTTCAGCCTGCTGCGCAGACAGATGTCACAATTCAGTAATTATCGCGCTTCAAAATTTTGCTGTCTGGGTGACGAGCCAGGACCCTTTGCAAGCATGGGCATGTGGAGGCATTACCTCCTAATGTCCTAGTTAAATTGGCTCTGCGCAACGAGAACTATGCTGCGTTCTTGCTCACACACACATTCCTCTATGCAGCTGCGTGCAAGCTCAGAACTGATTGAATGGCTGGTGGACTGCGGAGGAAATAGTGCCCGAGGCCATTTTTTTGTCAACTGGAGCCATGCCCCAGGTTCGATGGAAAGGGGGGTACCCCAAAGAGCATGTTCGGATTGGGGTGTGCTGGGGTGTGTTTTATTTTGTTGTCCAGACTATGTTTCGGGGTACGTTTCAAGTTAGTAATGTTTCTCATCATGATATGCCAGAGCGCGCGGGTAACATTTTCCGAGAAGCGGGCACAAACTCAAGTTGGGTGAGAAGTCCTAGGACCCTCAGAAGGCTGTACAAGCCCTAGCCCGGGCCGTAACCCATCAAGGATGAGAAAAGGTCATGACTGAGTGTGCTACAGCACCCTTGTCACAAATGTGTTCTCATCATGAAATGCCAGAGCGCACGGGTCACTTTTCCCGAAAGGCTGGCACAAAACTCAAATTGGGTTAGAAGTCCTAGGACCCTCACAAGGCTGTACAAGCCCTAGCCTAGGCCGTAACCCATCTCTCCCGTAGAAGGTCTGCACACGCACTCTGGCTTCGCGAAGGTGAGGAGAACCTCCTGCAGGTTCAAGCAAAATCACCCAACGCCCAAACCAACTCCTCCAAAACAAGTCATCTTGGCATCGCCACTCGCTAAAAATACGCAAGAGCTTTCTGCGAGGCTTAATCCAAAGGAAGACAGTGCATGCACCAGGTCGGGCTCGAGCAAGGAAAGAAATTGTTGTAAGCCTTTGGACGTTTTGCAATTGATGATTGCAATCAGCACTGTGCCTTGGCCTTGAAAGAGGCGGACATGGTGAAAGTGCAAAGAAACCAGCTCCATAGCGCGCAAAAAGAAAGCGAAACCAATGAACACCAGGATAGCCAGCTCCGGTCGCCCCAACTTTCCAGGCAGCAGCAGCCATGGCTTTAGCTCCCAACCAAGAAATTGGTGTCGTCTTCTGAAGGAGATGTACCCGCTGCCGATTACGGCTAGATGTAGCCTGCATCGCGGAAAGAACCTGCGTAGGCCACTGATTGTCCAACCTGCCAGGGAAATGTGGTCGCCTTCCTGGTAAAGGTGATTAATGTACTCGGCCAAAGAATCATCCAAGGCCTCAAAAAGTTGCGAGTAAGCCTGCCCCGTAGGGCGCGAAGGTATTTGAAGAAAGATAAAACCGCCTTTTCGTAGCACCATCGGAGAAGTTCCATTCAGAGATGGTCCAGAGCGTGATGCTAAGCACTGATGCGGCGATGTCCAAGGCGGTGATGCGGCGGCAAAGTCGATTGAGGCGTTACGATGAAGAGCGACTGTTGGATTGGAGAGAAAGCAAAAGGCCACCAAGGAGTCAAGAACATTGAGAAGCCTTTTCCCGTGTTCATTTGGGTCTCGAGTGCAGCGGCGAGGCTCCACGAGGAAAGCAGAAACCTCGAGCATATTGAGCTGCTGGGGCGGCGGCCATTTGTAGCTCGGCACATCGCGCCACATCCAACAGAAGGCCGGGTATGGGCAAGGTCGGTTGCCCTCGAGTTCTCCAGCTTGGTGGGCGGTGGGCGGTGGGTAAGACGTACACTGGCGCCTGTGCGATGTGCGTGGCAAAAGGGCACAAAGATGTTCTTCTTCCCTGCCTCCTTCCACGGATTCAAGAAGCTGCACCATCTGTTCGACAGCTAGCTTTGTTTCCCCCTCGCTTGGGTATAGGCGCGGGTTGCCCCCTTGAGCTCGTGGTAGAGAAGCGAGCCCAAGGAGGGCTCGAACTCGGAGAGCTGTCGGGAAAACTCATCGGCCATGGCCTCGGCAAAGTTGAGGCATTAGTCCCACGGATACTCGGCCTCCTCTTCAGCGTCATAGTTACCATAGCCATCTTCATGAACCTGATATGGTTCGAGCCAGTCGTGACCAGGGCAGGTGGGCTTGTGCAAGAGGTGGCACAGCGACTCGGCGGACAATACTCTTATATTTTCTCTGCGACCACCGAAGCCACAGGTTCAAAATGTGGACCAGCACCCTCCTTCTCCGTAGAGAGGCCGAGCATCTGGCAAGCACCACATATATCAGGGATGCTCCAACGAGGCAAAGCGCCCGTTTTCTTCTGATCGAGCGCTTTGACTTGGTCGCCACGGCGAAGATCCGGAGGCCCTCTGGGAACTCTCTGCTCCGTAGAGCCCTTGGCGTTTCAAAACGGTCTGCCACGGGAACTCGGCGCCTCCAAAACCAAGGCAAAGACCGCGGTACTGCAATTCGGCGCTTGCAAAACCACCGCCAATACCGCGGTACGAGTACGGTAACTCGGCGGTTGCAAAACCACCGCAAATACCGTGGTAATGGAATTCGGCGCCTGCAAAACCACCGCAAATACCGCCTTACTGGAACTCGGCGGTTGCAAAACCACCGCAAATACCGTGGCACTGGACTTCGACGCCTGCAAAACCAGCGCAAATACCGCGGTACTGCAACTCGGCGCCTCCAAAAGACCACCGCAAATGCCGTCGTACTGGAATTCGGCGACTGCCAAACCACCGCAAATGCCGTGGTAATGGAATTCGGCGCCTGCAAAACCACCGCAAATACCGCCGTACTGGAACTCGGCGGTTGCAAAACCACCGCAAATACCGTGGTACTGGACTTCGACGCCTGCAAAACCACCGCAAATGCCGTCGTACTGGAATTCGGCGCCCTGCAAAACCACCGCAAATTCCGTGGTGCTGGAATTCGTCGCCTGCCAAACCACCGCAAATGCCGTGGTACTGGAATTAGGCGCCTGCAAAACCAGCGCAAATACCGCGGTACTGCAACTCGGCGCCTCCAAAACCACCGCAAATGCCGTATACCGTGGTACTGGACTTCTAACGCGGCGCCTGCGAAACCACCGCAAATACCACTGGAATTCGGCGCCTGCCAAACCACCGCAAATACCGCCGTACTGGAATTCGGCGCCTGCAAAACCACCGCAAATACCGTGGTAATGGAATTCGGTGCCTGCAAAACCCGCGCAAATACCGCGCTACTGGAATTTGGCGCTTGCAAAACCGCGCAAATACCGTGGCACTGCAGTTCGGCGGTTGCAAAACCATTGCAAATACCGCGGTGCCGGAATTCGGCGCCTGCAAAACCACTGCAAATACCGCCGTACTGGAACTCGGCGGTTGCAAAACCACCGCAAATACCGTGGTACTGGAATTCGGCGCCTGCAAAACCAGCGCAAATACCGCGGTACTGCAACTCGGCGCCTGGCAAACCACACCGCAAGTGCAGTCGTATACTGGAATTCGGCGACTGCCAAACCACTGCAAATACCGCCGTACTGAAACTCGGCGGTTACAAAACCACCGCAAGTACTGGAATTCGGCGCCTGCAAAACCAGCGCAAATACCGCGGTACTGCAACTCGGCGCCTGGCAAACCACCGCAAATACCGTGGTACTGGAATTCGGCGCCTGCAAAACCAGCGCAAATACCGCGGTACTGGAATTCGGCGGTTGCAAAGCCACCGCAAATACCGTGGTATATTGGAATTCGGCGCCTGCAAAACCACCGAAAATACCGCGATAGTGGAACTCGGCGGTTGCAGAACCACCGAAAATACCGTGGTGCCGGAATTCGGCGCCTACAAAACCACCGCAAATACCGTGGTTGCAAAACCACCGCAGATACCATGGTGCCAGAATTCGGCGCCTGCAAAACCACCGCAAGTACCGCGGTACTGGATCACGGCGGTTGCAAAACCACCGCAAATACCGCGGTACTGGAATTCGGCGCTTGTGAAAGCACCGCAAATACCGTGGTACTGGAATTGGGCTTGCTGTCTTCCCTGTACAGGCCAGCTGTTCTCGACCTTAAGAGTCGCTGACACCATCCTAAACATTAATCCTAAACTCTAAACCCACCAGCGAGCACACGCACCAAGACACCTACACAGCGCACATGCGCCACACTGCGACCGCGGCACCTAGAACACTGCCAGATACGCGCCCCTTGCTAACGTGGAACTGCTTGCTTTCGGGATAGTCGGGGTCTAGTTTCTTATTATTCTTTTTACAAGTCTTCCCCGTAAAGATCTCGGCCTTAGCCAGTTCTGCATCGTCTGTCTTCCGGTTTCCACCGGCCTGCCCTGCTCGAGCTGATTCTCTAGCTCGGTCATTTTTGATAACACATCAGCACCTCGGCCGTGGCCGGCCTCAGCACCGGCTCCCTCATCCTCAAAGGCTAGTGCCGGCCTGCTTGGTGCCGTGTCAGGGCGAGGCTCTCCCTGATTGTCGCCAGAAAGTTTCGCTATCTCATCTTTCACGAACTTTTCGTGGGGATCCTTCGCAAGCCACTCGATGAGCTTGTCGGCCAGGCTGCTGAGGGTGAGGACTCTGAACTTGTCGGTGTGAACGTCGAAGGTTCGACCCCACCTAGTTTCCCTGCAGGAGCGCTGGGCCTGGATGCAAAAGCGCACCTGGAACTGCCAGTTCTCGTCCTCTCTTGACCATGATCAAGCCACCACGTCGGTGCTCATCCGACACGGCCAAGAAGGCTGCCTCTGTCCATTCGGCGAGTTCGGTCCTCCACTTTATCCAGACGGGCGACTCCTGTTCCTGGGCGGACGTACGTGGTGTCATAGGCAACAAACTCAACGTAGTCGCCGACCGCCAGCTCCGAAGAGCGCCAAGCGTCTGGATCTCCCTGGAGGGAAGTCTATGCCCCGGGCATCCTACAAATGGCCAGGGCCACAGAGACACTTAAACCAGAACAGCAGCGCAGAGGCAAGGATGAGAAAAGGTCACGACTGCGTGTGCTAAAGCACCCTTGTCACAAATGTGATTGTTTGGATATGTTTCCGACGTTTCGAACTCTCGTTCAAAGGGATGTCGAGGGCTGTATTCAGGGAACGTTCCTGGGTGCTCAAGAAGTGCCTCCGAATTTACATTCCTGACCCCTCATTTTCGGAAAGACCCAGATATGTGGCGTTGCTGAAACCTGATCTACCTCCGCAGTTGTGAAGTGCGGATGAATGTCATCAATCGGGAGCCATGCACAACCTTGTTAACTGCTGGATGCTGCTGGCTTTCTGCCTTCTTGAGCATCTCGACAGATAAGCGCTCCTGGCAGATTGCCAAGCTGTAGAGGATCTGGCTTCATTGAATGCTTCATTGCGGCTCCTGCTTCAGAGCTTCTTCGAAAGCTTTCGCCTCGCGCGGCTTGTCCTCACGCGGGGTGTGTTGGCCTTTGGGTGCCAAGTTGTTGACCTGTGAATCCTGGACCTCCATGGCCCCATGCTTGCAGCTTGCCAGGATGGGACTACATTGACTCCATGCGTATCTAGAGCTTGCAACATGGCAAAGTGCTTCTTCGAGTTTCTGCAAGTCATTGTGTGCCCCATGGATGGTCAGCCTGTGGTGAGCAAGGTACGACGTCTCACTAGGTCTGCTGCACCAGAAGGCCTGCTTTGCCAACAGGAAGCTGGCATGGCGTGAATCTTGTTACAGAAAGCTTGCCTAGCACGAAGTTCCCGGATGTTTCTTCTTTATCACGTTGCCTTGCACGGTTCCTGGATCCCGCAGTCGGCAGGCGATACTCTAGGCCAACTTGGCAGCCGCACACTACCAACACACATCGTCTGCTGACCCAAGCAATCGTTTTGATGCAATTGCGATGTGCTGATGGGAATGGTGCTTTATCTGCTGGTCACAATGTTTTTGAGTGGCAGCTTGATTTGGGCGGGATTTCGGGATTAGCAGACAATCCCTGAGAGATACGGAAGGACATGTCTTTGCACGATAATTTTGGCCAAGCCGTGTGCGGTGGTTTCTTTAGCAAGTGCGGCGGTGGCAAAAAATGAAGTGAACTGCCGCTATCAACTTCACAGATAATCACAGTTTGACAATCTCGCGGTGCCCCATGCCACTGCATGAACCAATCTTGGACCAGACTCGTTGAATTTGCAGAACGAAGAGCATCCTTTCATTCCGTATGCAGATAGACAGAAACGGGAATCAGCCCTTCATTGGCCCCAAATGTTCAGACATGCCCAGGTCAGGGCTCGTGGTCTCAAGACTTCAAAGATTTCGCAGGGTACAAGGCATACAAGGCTTAATGTCAGGATTGCACTGACTTTTCAGCAGTGGCACTGGGCGAGCATGTACAATTAATCAAAAAAAAGGTTTGAAACGTTCCCTGATCGCCACGTCCTCCTTCTCCCGCTGGAGCTGACATTGCAAGTCTGCCTCCACCAGGGCAACACATCTCATCACGGCTCTACATTTTGACTAATGTGCTCTTCCGCTTTGACCCAAAATTCGACACGGTAAGAGTCACGTGTGTTTCTCGCTCTGCATTAAGATCAAGCGGATGACAAGTAGGTATCCGAGATTCAAGCATGAACGTCAGTTCATTGCCTGGCTCACATAATGCCTGTGGCCTCCGAAAATCACAAGATCTCACCAAGTTCAGAATGGCAACCAATAATGAAACCCTAGGATGGAGCTCGACATGAGCAAATTATAGTTTTACTCGTGCCAAGGGGTTCATCCATCCAACCGTCTCATGAGGATCCGTCAAGCATTCGTCAAGCTGCCCATGCTAACAACCAGTAGATTATAAAGCATACCGTCCACGCCGTCGCGAAGGGGCTATCACTGGGCAAGCGGTCGTAGAGGCAGATGTTCACCATTTTGTTATACGTGTTGCCTGCACTTGATGCTGCTGCAAGAACTGGGAGGCTTAGAGGTGTCGAGCCCTTGCGGCGACCATAGCGCAACCTAAGAAAAGCATCACGCTGAAGCGGTCGCGCCTTGGCACTTGCCACCTGCACACATGTCTAAGGCCGTGCTTCCGACTTCAAGCTCATTCAACCACTATGTCAAATTCTAGGTGGCCGCTGTTCTTGCTCAGAGAAGAAGCGCGTGTAGTGCAGCATATCATTGTGTGCAATAGCACCCTCGAGCCAGGAAACTCCAAATTCAGCTCCCTTCGCTCAGGCTACTCTGCAAATGCCAAGTCTCCCTGTGAACTCATGGATTGGCCTCTTCGCGGTCTTTAGCAGCGCGAAACTCCGCCTTGCCAGAGTCCATGCGGACCCTTTCTTGGCATGTACGTTCAAGCTATGTACACTGGCAGGATGGTTTTGCAGGGACAGATCAGGACAGGAGCACATGAGAAGTCTCAGCAGTAGGAAAGATTACAGTTCGTAACTCTAAGACATAACGCCCTATTTTTGCGATTACTGTAGGTAGTGGTAGTATGTCCAGGCATGATCTTTCGCTGTGATTCTCACATCCTGCCGCCCAGTCAACAACTCACTCCCAAAATTCGTTCTTCCATCCAAAAGACAAACTCTAGAAGGGGCGCCAATCTACATCAGAAATCCCACGACAAAAGCGAATCAACCCAGTTTTGGCTGCCACGCCTTCAGCGCTGCCATCTGCATGCAGGTCAGTTGGAGATGAGGCATGATACTTGTGAGCTTTAAAGTCCGCAAGGCTTGTGTTGATGTTGGAGTGGTTTGGGACGTCCGGTCTGGGAGTCAGCATTTTCTGAAGCTGAAGGTCCCGTGATCCTCACTTACCACACACAGTAGTAGATCCTATCACTGGCATCAGATGGATACTCAAGCCACTTGACAATGCTGCAACGGACCGCACGAAGCTCCAATTCTTATGGCTAGTGGGAACCAGCAATCCTACAAAGCTACCCCACGTTACAGCCCAGTCGTCCTCTGCCAACTCGTCGCGAGCTGCTCGAGCTCTATCTTCCTTCTGCAGACTTGCCGGCATAGACCGGTAGGGCCAAGCCATAGTTTGTAAAGTTTTGTTGCAGCTCTAGTGACTCTAGTGGAAAGTTGCAGTTGCTCAGCTGTCTCTGTCTCTCACCACATTCATCTAAACGAGCATTACGTGCCACGAGGAGGGCGCCGTTGCCTAAGGAGAAGGCAGGGCGCCAGCAAATTGCTGAAGACATCCAACAAGCCCTAAACACCTGACTTATCAGAAGCTGCTGAAATCACTCACATGCTGCTGTGATCAGAAGCAAAGCCTCGCAGAGAATCTTATCATTCCCTTGGAGTAGAAGATGCAATATCAAATGGCCGGATATGAGTTGACTCCAAACAGCACCCGCCTCGCGGACCGCACGCGTGAACTTGCAGGCAGGTTGGGATGCACTCAATTCAAACAGAAGTCCAGCGCTGTGCTAAATTGCTGCTAGAC